TTTTTATTATCGTCTTTGAAGGAATTAGAAAGAGGACTAAATTTTTTTGACAATACAATAAGAAATCTCGAGCACAGGACTGGAAAAGAGGGGGGAATTCCCCATTTCCCATCCACTAAATCCGCCCCCGGGACAGTCCCCTTCCCTCTTCTCTTTTCTAATGGTTTATTTCTTAAAACTCTCCATTCAAAYACGATCCCTGATGATGTGTCGTATACTAATGTCCCTGGAGGCACAATGATAATAAAGTCAATAAATGACAATGCCTGACTTTTTTTAACTATGTGTTTTCGAAAGGACATGGTATCAGTTATATGATGCGATTAAGAAAATTGTTTTCAAGGTTGCAATATAGTGCAAAGGAAGACGTACGGCATAAGAGTCGCTCCTAATACAAATGAGATCAAATCAATGACTCTCTCGCGTTAAAACGCAAATACTTGAATTTGATTCGGCAAAAATTTGTTCGGGATTTAAGACATGCCTTACACGTTTTTGGATAGTCCAACAGCATTTTGTTCGGTCTTTCACAAAAAAATGCAGGGGGCCCCATCCCCCTCATGAAACCCCTGCAAACACACCCCTGTTAGATTTTCCTTCCATATATGATTTGTATAATTCCGAGGCAGTTGCATTTGGAAATTAACCGATTCAATCTAGAGGGCGGTCGAATTACTAGGGTCTTGTTGTTCTTCGTCGTTTGTGTCTGGCTTGGCATTACAGCAACAATGTGACGTCTTTTGGCTTTTGCTTTCAACGTTGTCTCTGTTTTTTCTTATTCCAATGTATCGCTTGAGGATGTCTTTGATTTTACGCTTTCGYATTTCACTTTGTTGCTCTAGAGGAACTTTTGAAGCCTAAAATATAAGGTTTATTTTGTATAAAATACAGTGATTATATATTTTGTATATAGAAAGGCATTTAGTGTTTTAATAGTTTGCAGACTTATAAGGGAGTAATGTATTGGAAACTTAAAAATGTAGAGCTTCAAAATCATCAARTGTTTACTTTTTTTTACAATTTATTATATAGAAAAATGAAAAATGCACGTTTCGAGAGGTTTCGTGACTTTTGGCCGACATTGGCCTGGTGCTGTAAAAGTTTAGTCCAGTGTTTTGTAATTTTCTACCTTTAATTTCTTTTTAAAATCGCTATTTCCACTGCTATTTTTACCTCTTGAATATCTGTGAAGTCATCATCTTGCACTTGTACGTCGAACGTTTGATCTTCCTAAAAAGAATAACAAACAGTCAAATTTTTGCCACTGAATAGACGATGTCAGTGGGAATTTAGGGCGGGGTCGATGGGGGATCTCCCGCCATGTTTGTGGATTCGCCCTGCCTGCAAAATCTCTTCTCACCTTTTGACAGCATTTGCAGAGTTTCTTGAGCTGTCTRTAGATGAATCGTATGTTTGGGATCAGATTTAATGGAGGAGGCAGGATGCTTCCTTTCTCGACCCAAAACATCCATAGTCTTGTCCTGGACACTTTCCATTTCTTGATTGCATTGTCCTGTATGTGGATATAAGAAAGTATAATAGAAGACAAACTGATTCAGTTAGCTGTTTTCTGATGCAAGACGAATACTCCATTTTCGACTCTCAATTTAGAAAAAAATTATTAAAATTTTCAAGGCTATTGTTATAACAACATTTTTTGCGATTTCTTTTGTCTTTCGTATAAAAAAGCGGTTATTTGCTTTGAATTTGAAAATTAGAAATAAGAAAATTAAGGAAAGTTCGCAAAGTTATATCTTACCGCGATATCATCGAAGGATCTTGTCATCATTGCAATCAACATGTTWATAGCGATTATCACAGCAAGCACCTGGAACAACCCAAACAGAGCCTCCCCAGTCTCCTTAGTGATGAGGAAGTTCTCGTCCTTTGTACTGAAGCTGTTAAGYTCAGTGAGACCAAACAGAGACCAAAATAACCCAGTAAAACCTGACGCCGCGCTGAAAAATGCCAGCAAATTGAGCATTAAATTAATGATACCGCATAAAAAACTCACGATTTTCCGTTTGTAATGCGGAAAATGCGCGCAAAGGACCTCGGATGCAYGAGGGTCTTTAACGGTTAGTTTTCTTACTCTGAAAATCGATGCTTTGTGTCTTGGGTTGTGGTATTTGTTGCACGGTGTTTAGCGATGTATTTCTGTGTAGTGATGTAATGTGAGTACAAYTTTCTCAAGCTGAATCCAAACGCTACGATAATCAATGCAAAAAAGACCATGAACTTTCCCACATCAAGAATCAAATAGTACAACGATAGCTGTAAAGGTCCTAGTTTGTCATTGGCTTGGAAGGCAGCAGAGAGACGAAGGAAACTCAAAACCATGGCGAGGGAGAAAAGACTGTTGGACAAAAGAATCACTTGAAACGTTGCTGACGGTGTGAGGTCTTTGATGGGGTCTAGRACCACCCAATTTCCTGTAATACCATAAGCAACAAGCCTGAAGATGTATGATACTGTAAATAAGAGTACCATAARGAAGGTGATGGTGTTCCACCATTGCGTGAAGTAACGCCTCTTTCCTTGGATCCACAACTCTTTGAACTCCTGGACGATGAGGCCAAGAATCCAGACCATRATCAACCAATCTAGTGGGAGATATAAGTACACCATCTAAGCCATGTGGGATAGGTTCGCAAATACGATAAGAGCATGCGCACATAAGATATCTTAAGCAGTGTCTTTGGAAAAGATTGAATCGCAATGCAGTTTTCTTCAATTGTTTTCATGTGGTGAAGATACATTGTCGTTGGTCCTCAATGGGAAGAAAATCCAGTAATAAGAAAAAATCCTACTGGCCTACGTTTACAGAAATATGAATATAAACACGCACAATAGACCTCTGAAGCTTTTACGTCATGTACCATATACTCAATGGATTGTAGGATATGTTTGGGAAAGAACATGACGGATTTCTTTTGTTTTCACAAGGAACCGATCCCACAAAGCATTGAAAATCAAGTAGTGACGTAAAAGGTTCAGAAGTCTGAGAATAACTGCATGAGTTTCAAAATATGATAACGTTCATGTACCTGGAATACTTGGACGAAATATCTCATTATCAAACTTGTCTTGAAAAGCGGAAACAACAAGTAAAATGACAAATAATAACATGGACCAGAAGTGACTCATGAACTTGATCATTGGGTTTCCAAGAACACGGCTTACTTTAGTACCAGGTGCAAAGACATGCGCCGCAGCAAGAAAGGGCAGAAGCATGATGTGCCGTAGTGTGTATAAGAAGACACTCAAGAAGCTTCTGTCGCGCCAGTTTGGTTCGAAGCTGAAGATAGTGTAGATATTTTTGTACAATACCATATTTAAACAAAGCTGGCTGTAGGGATGAGCGACTAACTGAAATACAAACACACTGTTTATAGTAATGAATCAAATGAATGAGTTGGTAATAGATATGGGYGGATCCAGTGATTTTACAAAGGAARGGTTGTAAAGTTCTGCGTCCATCTGACCGCCARAGTCGTTCGCAACTAAAATTTTGAATTTTAGATCCATGGAAACTCGATTTCCAGCATTTTGATGGAGTTTAACATCCATCTATCTTTACTACCCTTCTGCTTTCCTCTTTTTGCCCCCTCCCCTAAATCCGCCACTGAATGGCTGACTGATYTGTTGTTGGTCGATTTACTAGTAAATGATCTTTGTTGCTGATCGATTGGTTGTTCCGTTGTTTTATTTGTTAACTTATGTATTGACACGTGCAGGAGAACTAGGTTGCGTTTGGGTGGATGGTTTGGTTCAATTGATTGACTACTCCGTGGTTCTTGTGGATCTTAAATTGCTTGGTTAGTTGGCTGTTGTTGAATTGGTCGGTTAGTGGAGTGGAAGGTGAATACGCTTGGTAGATAAAACACCCG